AAACACAAAAGATGCGATCACAACAACTTCAATGAGATAATATTCAAATTACGCACCTAAAACGGCCAGAATAAGCCAGATTCCGGGACACCGAAGGGATCTTCCGGTGGCTTCACAAACGCCCGCATGGGAGAGCGGGGATGTGTTGTCCAGCCTTTTTATTGGAGGTCAGTGGTGGTTACGAACACCGGCGGCCGTGGCAGACAACTACGGCGCTACGCATGACTCAAGTTTTGATCTCATAACAGCTTTCGCTGTAATAAGTAGGAGGTTGGAGATAGTGAGAGGGATTTGGAAATGTTCATGGCATGGTGGGAGCTCGCTTAGCATCCAAAAGCCAACCTCCTCTGAAGCCGCTTGCTCCCAACATTAGTGCTCATTTCCCATGACGCTCCCGTTTTCTTTTTTGATGGCATTGTAGACAGAAACAAAAATCGATGAGTGTGCGTGCCTACCATCAACAAGTCAACCTATTCAGATGTTCTGGGGCTCACTTGCCAGCATGCTCCCGTTTCATTTTTATAGCTCGGCTTCAAACTTTTCATGTGATGCTCCCTTCTTTCCTCCGTAGTTAACAATCTGACTTTTGGCGATATGGTGTTGTGCATGAGATCTGATGGCCCAAGCAAAATTAGGACCTAAGTAATGTGGTATACGCACACTCACTTTGGGAGCATGTAGGAATACACTAAATTGGGGGTACAAGGCGACGTGATATAGACATATTTCAAGGCAGGTAGCTAGCAGCAATATAGAAGCTCAGGAGTGGTTGAGAAAAATGGCGAGTAGCCGTAAGCTGGAAAAGAAGTTCTCAGCTACTTATAGATCATGAGGAATGTCAGACTAAAATGTACAGGAAGCAAACCACAAGAATTGTCAAGCAAACATTTCAATAACAGGAGACCAAGCAAAAAAAAAAATCATCGGTCAAGGAAACGGTGAAAGAAATGGAGAGGCACCTCTGGTAACTAGAGATGCTTATGAAAGCAACGCTGAACACCTACAGAACTTTTCGAGCAGCAAATAGCCAAAAAAAAGAGTTGTGATAAGGGTTTTTGGTTAGGCTAATTGGTTCAAATACATTATGTCAGAGCAATGTGAAATGCAGGACAGTGAAGCTGACAGGACAGCAACACCCTCAAGTGGCTTCTTTAATGAGAAGGCATAAGAAAAAAAAAAGCGCACAAACGCTATCAAGGTAAAGCTATTCATTTTGATAAAGATTAACAGTTTACACCATGCAGTGTTAATATAACACCGTTTTCTCTCCACCCTTGCATTGCCGTTTGACCCTTTGTTCCACTATGTACATAACTAGTGTGTAAGCCACCTGTTCTTGCTATTTGTATTAGCTACGGGCTACGAGCTACATATGCCGAGCTGTGGAGGATATTAACATCCTGCATAATGAATTGTCTTCATTTAAATTCATTTTGCACTGTAGCGTTGTGTATGTTCACTTTGCAGAAGGCACTACCACGTTCGATGAGTTGGTCGCCATGTCGCTTCCTGTGAGCCATATGAAAAGTATCATTTTTCTTCACTCAAAATGAACTTGCACTACATTTCTAGGCTGATATTTCATTCTATTTATACTGAACAGAGTATCAAAGACTTCAGGATAAATAGATATTTCATTACAACCTAATTGAGATTATTTACTACACACACACATAAATTAACATATTGTTACATGTAGGCTGCCAGAATGCATATTGTCAATGCATATTGTTGTTGGTATAGTGGCATGGTCAAATGGAGAGGGCTGAAGCGGCGCTGGATTTGCCGCTTCAATTTCCCATCTAACGATACGCGTTACATTCTGCTCAAAAGACGGTGTGGCGGTGGAATCGGAGCAGATGGATGTAGCCGCCTGTGTTTGGCAGCGGAGAAAATTTAGGACACCTTTGACAGCTTCTTGCCATTTTGAAATGGCGGCATTCTTTAATGATGCGGTCGATAGTCGAGACCTTGGCGTAGACCAGCAAATTGAAAGTGTCGTCCGCGATTCCCTTCAAAACGAGACCAACTTTGTCAGCTTCAGACATGGCCTCGTCCACTTTCTGGCAAAGAGCGAGCACTTCTTGTATGTAGGACACATACGATTCAGTTGGCGGCTAGACATTGGTAGCAAGCTCGTGTCGTGCAGTTGCGTGGCGACTGGTCGGGTCCCCAAAGATGTCACATAGCTTCTCCTTGAACGTGTCCCAGGTGGTGAGCTCGGACTCAAGTGTTTCGTACCAGACACGCGGGGTTTTGTCCAAGTAGAAGAGAACATCAGCGAGCATCATGGTAAGGTCCCAGCGGTGAGTTTTACCGACTCGCTCATACAGCCGAAGCCAGTAGTCAACATCGAGGCCAAGTTGCACAGAGAATGTCCTGAGATCACGGGGCGAGGGGACTGCGACAAAAGTTGTCGTAGAAGCAGCAGATTGAGAAGGGGACGGGTTGTCAGTGGCAGGCATGGCGGGAAGCTAGAGGATGCGGCCACTGCGGAGCTGCGTGGTGAGGACAGGGAACGTTCCACCTCCACGAAACATGTTACGTGAATAACGAGTCGCTTACACTGCAGGCTATTCACAAAATATATTTACAAGAGCGGTTGCAGTGCTGGCCAGTCCGGCTCCGAGCACCAAGCGACCCGCGCCCTCTTCGTCGGGCACTCACGCGCGTTGACAATATGCATTTCGGGAGCCTATATGTAGCAATATTATGACACTATTTTGTTGCAATAGACGAATGCCTTGAAACAATGTTGTGCTGATTTTACACATTTACACACAGTTTCTCATAGGTGGTGTCTGAAAGGTTCAATGAACTGTGCCTCTCATTGCATTAAAAAAAAACTGTGCAACATGCATTTGAAAATGCCTTGCATGCTAGCTTATTCAAACAACAACAAATAAGTTCAGGGCCTCCGCCACCCAGAAAAGCAGCATTTTTGCGACACTCAAGCAAGTGCACATTGACACAGTGCCTGGTATGGCTGGCAAATATGTATAATTTTTCCTGCAGTATAGTGGAACGCTGCACACCAAATCAACCTCGCACTGAGCAAGGGCTTTGGCGTGCTTTATATTGCAGGCTGGCCTCCCCTCGTTTTCCTCAATTAGGAGGCATGTTTGCCCTTTAATCAGGAGCTGAAGACGCAAGACGTTCCGAATGCCCACTACAGTGAACTCCCGTTAAGACGAACTCGTTTAAGACGAATTCTCGTGTATGCCGAACAACGTGAGAACGTTTGTTTAATTTTTCATAGACCCAATGCAAAAAAAATCCGCTTAAGACGAACAGCCTTGCACCTGCTCTTTTGTTAAGACAAACACTTTCGCGGAGACCGGGAGACCGAGGCGATTCTACAGACGAATTATGGCAGTCTTGGGGGGGGGGCGGGGGCGCATTCCCGCGGCCGGAGGGAAAGAAAATGCAAAAGCAGCGGGAAGCGAATTCACGCCACGGCGGAGGCAGGGAGGCAGCGACAAAAGAGTGGCCCGCGGCATCACCCGCACTTCGACCCGCAGAGTGAGCGGCAAAGCAAACAAGAAGAAAATGAGAGAGCGAGAGAGTTTTGAGATCGACTATCGGCCGCGAAGAAGCAAGCAGGAGAAAAAGTAAAAAAACAAAATGACGACCGAGACTCCCTATTCGCGAAGAGAGCAGCTCTCATGACCAATGCCGTTTCTCAGCGGGAACATGTGAGCTCGCTTCGTACAGCCACAGCTCTCTCCACGTGAATGTTCTCCCTCTCTGACCTCGCCGTCGCTGCCGCCGCCATCGCCGAGGAAACGAGTTCTTTCTCTGCGCCGAGCCTGCGATCGCACGTTTTCTATTCCATGCGCTTTGTTTGCTCCGCTTGTCTCGTTAAAAATGGCCAGCGAGCCAACTATACAACGAAAGCTAATCGAGCTTTCAAGGAAAGCAGAAATTTTGTCCGAAGTGAGAGCTGGCAAGCTCACGAAGACCGAGATTGCACGCAAGTTCGGGATTGCAAAGAGCACGCTAACGGGCATCGTGAAGGATAGTGTGCGGGTAACCGCTGCATTGAGCGATGGAGACTTCGCACCGAAGCGAAAGAAGATGCGGACGGCTGCGCACAAGGGCTTGGAGGATGTTCTGCTCGCATGAATCCAACGTGCTCGTAGCGTGAATCTGCCTGTGAACGACGCAGTTCTGAAGGCAAAAGCGGAGGAAATTGCCCTACGAATGAACATCGAGTTTGCCTGCAGCGACGGATGGCTCGATCGCTTCAGAAAAAGACACAGACTTGTGTTCCGATCTATTGCCGGTGAGGCCGCCGTTGACGAAGTGACCTGCAACGATTGGACCTGCAACAGATCTGCAAGTGACCTGCAACAGACGTCCATTATGGACTGGATCAAGCCGAGCAAGAGCACTTAAACGCAGTTGCCTATCAGGTTACTCCCTCAAATAAATTATTTTTGTGTCTTTTTCCTTCACTGTAAGTGTAATTGATACTTTGTTTTGAGCTAAGATATTTGCATGCACCTAGGTATGTAGCCAATTCTTTTTTCGAGGGTGCTTCTGATAAAACGAACATCTGATAAGACGAACAATTCTTCATGGTTTCTTCAAGTTCGTCTTAAAGGGAGTTCACTGTACTGACTCACTGGCATAAACTGGTGTCGCTACAGAGCATCATACTTAAGTGACATTTCTTTTTGTTGTGTGAATGCCCACAGGGAAATAAATAAGTCCACTTAATACCATTCAGTGAAAATAACATTACATCTCACTTGTGACAGGGGTATAAATTCCTGACTCTCTGAAATGCAGTGTAGAATTCGCCCACACTGGGTTAGTATTTCTCTGATAAAACTAGTTGTGTATTTCATGTGTGTTTATTTAGGTGGCATTGGACAAGGCCACAAGCTCGTGATTCCACTAAATGAAGCAGTATTACAAGGGGCAAAAAAAAAAAAAGCCTATTCTCCAAACAGTGCGGCGTTTCTTCAAAGGTCCACAACATGACAAAAATCTTATGCTGGAATTAAACAAATGAAACGACATTTTTATTTATGCCATGGGTATTATAAAAAAGAGGTACTATGTACAGAGCACGATTGCGTAGATGAAAATTCAGTCGGCTAACTCAAAACGCTTGAACTTGTCATGGTCATAAAAGGATGCCTTGACGATACGACCACCGAAGTAACGGCCATTCGTGTCCACAACAGCTGAAAAACAACGGGAAACAGAGTGATTTTAAAACTGTCAAGTGGAGAGTAATATTCCAAGAGAATCTAGGTATGGCTTCAGGCATGGCTATAATGCCAAACATTAATTAGAACTAAAAAACAAGAAAACCAAGGAATGTCTAGGGAATTTCATTTGTACTAATTATGACGTAAATGTGAGGAAAGTAAAGTGAATGAAAAAAAATAGCATGTCTCATTGGACACATTATTCGAAGGTAGCAGGTCCGGTCCCTGCCAGTGGCAAGTTATCTTTTTATCAACTTTAATTTTTCCCCATTTATGATAATTACTACAAAGATCCCCTATACTTTCCTAGGTTTTACTATCTGTTATTTATAATTAATGTTGTGTCTAAAACAATAACGAGTCTTCAAAATTCCCCTTTTATCATGTAAAATGCCGCTTAGCTGCAAGAAAAAAAAAATTTCAGTTGCTGAACCAGACACTGCTTGAAACTAAATAAATATGCTTAGCCATCAGAATGAGTAACCGAAATTCCTCTTGAAATCTGCAGAGATCCACGTTTCTACAATGCTATTTTCAATAAGTAAAACAACCCTTTCAATCTATGACTAAATTTCTACTGTAAATAAAATACAATTTGAGAGGGGTGTAGACAGAAATAATTTGTGCGACAGTTTGACTAACTTTGATGTACATTTAAGCCTGTCTTTGTATATGGGTATGTTTACATGTAAAAAAATGAAAAACTCTGAGGGGGGGGGGGGGGGGGTGATATTTGAAACCAGAGTGTGATTGAGAAGTGTACAAAAAGTGCCCATATGTTGCCTAATCTGAAGTGGCAGTTCTCCTTATTATAAAGAAAAATAAAAGATAAAAGCATATGCAACATACTAAAAAAAGACAAAAAAGCCGTCACGTAGGCCAACGTAAGCCCCACCCACCGCAACAGCACCGGACATTTTTTTTTTTACTCACTCTACAGGAATTGAAACCAAGGCCACACAAGCCCAATATTGTAACGATTACACCATAGATGATAATGAATCTGGGCTTTTGTTCTGCAACAAACTTTCTTGTGATTCGACAGTTGACATAGAGCGACCAACACATGGCGAGGTATTGCACCGATTCAGCACTATACACTTAGACAATTTAAGCTACTTCAGTAATTAAGAACCGGCAATATTAACCCAATAGCATCGAACAGCTCGTTTCGCAGAAATTACTGTGTCAGCGTTGTTGGTTGTAGGCAAAAAATCATCATCTTAGCGTGACTGAAAAATTGAGAAAGATGCAAATAAAAAATTCTGAGCCTCAGTGGGAATCGAACCCGGGTCCTTTGCGTGACAACCGGATGTTCTACCACACAGCCATGCCTTCGTTTGCGAATACAGTGAAAATAACTTCCTCTGCTTGGAAATGCAGTGAAAGTTACTTTCATGATTTATAAACACACCCAGTTGCACTAACTTTGTCAAGAACTTCACAAAGTACCATTTTTTTTAAACAAAGCAGAAAAATCGGAGTGGTTAACTCTGACGGTCTTTGTGAATAATTTCAATCTCGCTTAAGTCAGCTGGAGATTTCGTCTGTGTGGCAATTTTTACAATTTTAAATTTTTTTACTTAAGCTTATTTAAAAGCTTGATTCTTTTTACATGGCTCATTAGTTTAAAAAATTACCCCGCAGCCTGAATCCATATCATATAGTTCGAATAGCATATCTACCATATTATTTAGAAAAATTGGCATTTTTTAATAATTATATTGCACCTAAAAATGCTAGCCTTGTTTCGTAAAACATTGAAATATGTTGCTATCGCATTCATTGCTTTGCCCTTTTGGCAAAACTGTGACTTTTTTTAATGAAAAATATAACACATTTTTAAAAACTACAACTATGCTTGTGTGAATGCAACAGTTAATTTTTTTTTTTTGAAGTGCAGCCTATGCGAATTCGAGAAGTAGCAGGATCTAAATAGCACACAGGTGAAAGCTACAAGAGGCGAAATAAGGCAAGCTTTAAAATTTCTTATACTTTACCCATACGAGCTTCTACAACATGGTTTTAGACAAAAGAATAAAAAATAATCGAGGCGCAGTACGTGCAATGAACATTCAATATGTGTCTTCGTGGCAATGCAGATTTCTCCTGGCTGTGTGGTTTCACGACACAGACGATCGAAGCTGCAGTGAGGCCACATTTACAAGTGGGTCACGTGCGGTAAAATACATCTGTATTTGTTAATTTTAAATAGTTCTGAATTTTGGAAATTATAAGTTTGTGTTGAAGCAAATTAGAATACTGTAGCATTCATTAAAATACTCGACATGCTCCAATACTTGCACTGACATACCAAATAATAATAATTATAGAAAGCGAATGTGTCCCTGAATACATCAGTGTCCCCACTTGTGAAGCTCACCATGAACTAAGCTGGCTCACCTTTGATGGCGGATGCCATGCTTTTGAACTCGATGAATATGCGTACGGCGTCTTCATCAGCGACGCCAGGTATCTCGTAGATGAGGCAGCGAACCACTTCTCCGTACTTGGAGCACTCCTCTTTCGTCTCTGGCTCCAGGTCGTCATCAACCTCGCCGGGTCCCACCATATTCTGCATGAAACAGCAATCAACAGACGAGAAAACGTTCACAATGACCAATGCCCAGGGTATAAGTAACCATATCCCCTTTATATAAGGAAAGGATCAGTAGAACAATAAATTTCAATTTTTACAATGGCAAGATCTGAAAAAAAAAAACAAACCTTGAAACTCATTTTAAGAGCTTTTTTTGTGTGTGCAGATTGCTTATGTAACCGTGCAATATTAGTTGCAGTTGTGGGTGCGCTCACCAGTTGCACAGCCTGATGTGTGCTTCATGTGTTGCCACAAACATCCAGTATGTAGTGTGCCCTAACGAGCTTGTGGCGAGAAGCGTACAAAATCCAAGCGCAGTATTCCCCTCAAAGCTTTTCTCGTGCACTGGAGTAGGTGACTACATCACCTGTTCAAGGATGGAAGTGGACTTCAGTGTAATAGAGCACCTTTGGCACAGTAAAAAGGGAGTTTTGGAGCCACGTAAGTTACTTTTGGAGCAGTTTTCTAGGATCAAATATCATCATCAATCAAAATTATTCTCGTAAAACTTAACATCCACAAGTCTGCGCGTGCGTGGGTGTGCTTGATACAAAACATGCTCATTGAATACTTAGCCTGAAATGAAAAAAAATATATATATATGTGACGCTATGATGAATGGGCGACGAAGCCTGGCTCATACGCCATGTTTATTCCGTTCTGACTTCTTCCTTCTCTGCTTCTACAAACCATCCATCCCATCATATGTCACATGATTCCCCCTCCCCCCGAAAGAAGGCATGAGTTACAACTTACAAACAAGAAAAAGTAAACAAAGAGTGACTTGGAAGTCACCAAAGTCAAAATAAAGAGGTAGTTTCACAAATTTTAAAATGCACGTGTTGTCTTCTTCGTCACAAAGTCTTGAGGGGAGAGTGTGGCAGTCCGGTGATATCAATAAGAGATCTGGCGGGCGAGGCTGATGGTTGCGCCCTGGATAACACAAGAATGCTTTGAACAGGGAGATAGCGAAAATCGTAGCCGGCATTCTTGTGAAGAACAAACGAGGTTTGCACACCTTGCAGAATCGACAGTTCGGATATCGTAGGCATCGAATTCTTCGTCGTGGCACAGGCCGTGCAGGCAGCTTGCGTGCGCGTTGATCGAGGTTGATTGGGCGCTGCTTGTGTTTCTGCCGCGTACAAGGGGTGCTTTTGTGGCTTTTCAATATTTTTCTATGGCGATGTCGCAGATGTTTTGATAGAAGGCACATTCTTGATCTTTGGTGGAGAATGTATCCATCACGATGGGCCTTTTTGCAATGTTCTTTAAGCCTTAAGAGTGCACTCGATGAAGTTTTGTTTCGTCGTTTACAATGTTGAAGCATACGTTGACGTTGTAGTTTCTTGGTTTCGTCAACTTGCTTGTGGTGTGACGTTGATCGTGCTGCACCAGGATTCTTCTACGGCACCAACCAATGACTTCTACGCCACCAAAGACTTCTACGGCACCAACCAATGCAACTGTTTCCGGCGCAAGATAATGTGGCGGGTTTGGTGCACTTGAATCGTCTGTATTTATAAACCGTTCATTGTTGGTGGTTGCCTGAAGCGTATATATGTCATCAGAAGTCGCACCTGCGGTTTTGTTTTCATTATAGGCAGTGAGGTTGTATACTGGATTCACGTCGCTTCGATCTTGTGATTGATGAACACTGGACGCTTCTGCAGAACACTTTTCTTCACAAGATGCTGATTGTGAATGCTTCTGTGTTTGTGGAACTGCTGAGCTGAATACTTTGAACAAATGAGATTTCTGTGAACATTCGTTGTGTGGTTTGGTTTCGTGCGGATTCACTAAATCGTAATGCGTAAATGCTACTACCTTATGAGGTGCTTCATCAGGTATATCAGTAAAGTTGATGACAGGAGATGGAACTGCTGAGCTGAATACATTGAAAGAATGATGTTTCTGTGAACATTCGTTGTCTGGTTTGGTTTCATGCGGATTTACTAACTGGTCATGCGTAAATGCTGTCACGCGTCCGAAGCCGTGTGGGCCATGTGTGCGACACGAAGCATCAAGTGATTCGGGTTGTTCAATAATACCTGAAGTATTATGGTGCCGCAAATACATTGGAAATGCCGATTTATTTGCCCGTGAAGAATCCAACCGTAAGTTCGGTCTTTTGGCAAAATGGTCTACATTCCTATTGGCATACGGTGGCATTCCCTTCTCTGATGCGACGTGCAAGTCTCTAGTTGGTGTTGTAATGCGTGAAGTGTATGCGGACGAGTCATACGATGATACAATAATGGAATATTTACTCTGAAGTCTTGTTTGGGAAATACGCTTACTGCGGGAAGACTTCGCGTAACTGTGATGGTTGAGTTGAAAAGCCTTCAGCTGATGAGGAATGGACAAGTCTTCATCGTGTTCTTTGAAACGGGTGACCATTTCTTCTTTGATCTTTTTCCAAGACTCATCATTCTCGAAAATGTGGGTGAGGTAAAATTTGAATGCCTCACCTGAGACGTAGTCAGTGAAGTTTGTGATCATCTCCCGTTCCGACCAGGATGCAGCGGCAGCGTGGAGCTCGAAAAGGTTGAACCAGTCCTGTACTGGTCCGTCGTCTGCTGATCCAGTGTACTTGGGGATGTCAAGGTCATCTGATGGTGCTGTCATGATGCTGGTCTTGGTGTAGAGTTGGAATGTACTTTTGTGGTCCACGTTCGGTCACTGCGTCTTGCTGAGACGTTCGAATATGGTGGCCGGTTGATGAAGTGGCCTTCATCCTGTCGACTCGTGTGACGCTATGATGAATGGGCGACGAAGCCTGGCTCATACGCCATGTTTATTCCGTTCTGACTTCACATATATAATCTGGGCAGCAAAAACATGTAACTATTTTTTTACACAAATGTCTCTACTGCAAGGGATCTCGTTAGCCTCTGTATTGTTGTGTTCTATGTGTGAAACTGAGGTGTACGGATTATCACGGCCCACTTAGCTTGACGAAACTTTGTTATCTCCACGCTAATTAAACAAACCACTGTGCTCATCTGTGCTCAGGTTGAAGCGAAGTGGGGACGAGCAATTCACACAGCAAGTCTGCGTGCATGGTACGGCGAGCCACCAGGCATTGATGGTGTAGGCAGCATGGACCCCGCGCTGCACGCAACTAACCAGGAGAGGATCGGATTCAAAGCGACGACTTCATGTTTCAATGAAATTATCAGATGTCGCTTACTATCAGATCGCAGTAGAGAAGTGCACACGCATCGCGAAAAATCGATAGCGTCCGTTCTGTCACCATCTCAGTTGCTGCATACCTCAGACCCTGTAATAGTTTCGAAATGTTCCTTGGCGTCGCCACTGTGCACTACAACATGATTGTACAAGAGTGCCAGCCTAGCACCTTTTCTGCACTTTGGCAAAAAGGAAGAAAATACTTTCTGGTGGGTACCTCAGGCAACATGTGCTGTGGTACTGTATTTATTATTCGTGACGATGGCACACGTCAGGAGATGCACAGTAGTACTAGTAAACGCACACTGCTATTTAGTGCATAATCATGCTGCGTTCCAGGCTGGTACAAAATGTTGAGGCTTCACTGTATTACTAGATAATTCACAGTTACTCATGTTGGTGCCACCACTTTTGTGGGGAAAGCACGGTGATAACAGCAATTAGACAAACACTAGCGAACCCCATGAATGAACCGAATTACAACATGACCGAACTACACTCAATACGAATGGGCTGCGTCTTTTGTGTAGCAAACACTCATTATTGCTCGGTCAATGCTAACTAGCTAAATTTGGCGGTTTACACTTCCAGTCGGACAATTATCACGGATATCGTCGTTTAAGCTGAGCCTGGCAGCAGAACGGCACAACTGGCGCAGCACTTTCACCCCTGCCTACAGGGTTCACCAAGATGTGTTCTTCAATCCTACGGCTATAAACTCCGCTTTGAAAGTTGGACACTCTTATGGACCAATTTGCAGAGGACAGCATTCCAAAGCACCACTTAGAAGCGATGACAGAAAACACATAGCCTGACCGCAGTCTTTGCTGTCATTGTGCAAGTTGCCACGAATAGAATTAGGCGAAGTAGCACATTTGTATGAACCTATTGTGGCCTTGATTGTAACGCGTAGGTAATTTTGCACTAAGAAAACTGAAGAAAAAATAACCTCCATGCTAACTACAATTTAAGCCTGACTGTAATGCACACACAATATTCAGGCCTACATTTAGCGAAATAAAATGTATATTATAATCACTCAAGTATGGTACTCTCAAGACATGTTTAAGAGTTATGCAGTAGCAATATCATTCGCAAAAACTAAACAGAAAGGGCCCACCCACTGTATCCTTTATCTCCTGCAATGTAGAATACAAAAAAAAAGACGTCATCTTTTAGTTTCTTTTTTTCTACAGATGGCACCGCAATCAACAGACTTTGGCGATTCTGGCAAACATGTCTGGATTTTGATGCATAGAACCTATGAGGAGTTTTGCAGCTCGTATGATTAAAGAACCATGGAACAGGATTGATAGGTGGGCTAGTTGGTAGGGCATACTCGTTAAGCGAACTGGGAGTGCAGGAACACACAAAAAACAAAGAGCCACAAACGAAGTGTTTCAAACCAGTTGTTAGTGAGCAGCTTGTGCTGTGTGGCTCTGCTCTGTCACTTGTGTGTTCCTCCATTCTCAGTTCGCTGAACAAAAAATAACCGTGGGGGTGTTGGATAAGATAGGAAGGCGCAAGCATAAATGTGGCTGCTTTTACATGCTTCTTATTGAGCTTACCCTCAAGAGGACCACCTTGGATGGATTGCGCATCATGTCAGTGATGGATTCATTCTGTTGCTGTTGCTGCTGCTGACTAGGGGCTGATGGAGGAGGACCCATAACTGGAGGAGGCATCGGAGGTGCTGGTGGGGGCAGGGGCTCTGCAGAAATCAATATAATCAAGGGCAGCCCCGACAATGTCAACAACTGTTTCAAGCACATGGTGTGAGGGAATATAAGAACATTTTGAGCAGACTTAGTGCACATGACAAAGCAACATTGTTAGAAATGCTTCCGTGAAAATGTCTTCTCGCACTCAAGGTCAGGAGTTCAATTTTCTGCAATCAGTAGCAGATTTTCGGAGGGCATGGATCACAAGTGTGTGCAGGCTTCCCTTTCAGTGGAGGGTGGGGGGTAAATGTTAATTGCAGTGCCCTACTCCGCCCGCCCCCCAGTATGGGGTACACTTTGCACCCCCCCCCCCCCTCTTATGTGACCAGGGGGGTGGGCACCACCCCCTCCTGCCTCCTCCCCATGCCATACTTATGTCATGGATGCAAAAACACTCGCACATTTACATTTAGACGTTCACATATACAGTTGAAACTCACAATAATGAAATTGGCAGGGAAGCTAGAAATGTCACTTTTGTGGTAATTTCATGGCATGCAAATTTGGCAGAAAAGACAGGGAATTGGCAAATGAGATAACTTATTGGTAGAAGTCATTAAGGCAACTTTGCCAAGCCTTTCTCTGTAGCAGTTTCATAGCTGCCACACAACCTGTCATTTCGCCACTGTCGTTCTCTTCTCCTTGCGTGGCTCCACTGCGCTCCGTGTTTGCTCTCTTTCGTTTGTGTGTTCGTTCTCATGGTCACGACATTGCCGATGCCGCTGAACACAGGAACCTCAAAGGGCGCCTCAAAGATGCGCTCTAAGTATAATTTATTATGGGTGAACTTGTGCCCAGAAAATTAGACGCCAAATCGAAGAGCCCATCAGAGCGTTCTAGACAGTGTCCTCCTTGGCCAATGCATGTCTTCTTTTTTTCTTAGGCCTAGCAGGTTAACCCACTTTCTCGTGCCTGCGCGCGAGAGGCACGACTTGAGCTGTCACAAAAAGCAAGTGCAGGCAAGAGGCATTGCAGACGCTAACCTAACGGCTTGCTGGCTGTCATGGGTAAAACTCCTCCGGGCAGTCTCTCTTTTAATTTTGTTCGCTGCATCGGTCATGCAGATGAGGACGACGACGCTCGGCTGAGGAATGAGTGCCTAAGAGCTGTGCTTTGAAAATAAAGTACTTCAGGAATATTTCTTCCGTGCAAATATAATACGCATCTATCTAACATGCTTGCCTTTTGTTATCACTGAGGTCTCAACACTTCCCAGTCTCGAAAGGCATTTGCAATACACTCAAACCTCGATACAACGAAACCAGATATTACAAAATATCGGTTACAATAAAGTAAAAAAAGTTTAGTCTTGCAATAAACAGTGTTAGGAATATATACCATCATAACAAATTTTTGGATAAAACGGAGTTATTCTTGTGCAAGATGCAACTTTGTTATAATAAGGTTTGAGTTTATTAGTGACATGCCAAGCCACGAGAATCAAGGAAGAAAATGTCAGCAAACTGCTCATAACAATTACCGTCCTGAGGCAGAAATATGGCTGAAAAATTATGGCAACTAGTCATGCCAAGCCTAAGGAAGAGTGCAGCTTGGTGGCTGTTTACATTTCTCATTATCTTTCTTCTTTTTCTCTAATTGTTTCTTGTGTGCCCCTTTTGCATGTTCATTTCTTTCTCTTTCTCACTCTTTATTTTTTCTTCTTCTCTTCCTTTCTCTTTTTCAAGTCATACTTTTTCCTGCCTTTCCAGCACGTCTTTATTCTAAGTCTTTCTAATTTTCCCTTTCTATTTTTATTGCCTCCCTTTCTTCTATTTTTTCTTTATTCTTTTCTCCTTTTTTTGTGTGCGTGTTGTTTTGACATTCACACCTGCTGAAGACGAAAGTGGTGCTTGCCATTTGAGGAGTTTCCTGGCGGCCACGGACATTTTACGGCTGGCTATAACCAGAAGTGTGCACACAAGGGGGGCTGGGGTGGGGTGCAAAGTCAGTCCCATTACATTGACATAACAGGAAGAGGTGGGCGCTGCGACTTGAGAGAGGGTGGCAAAGTCAGACCCATACATTGACATAATATTGAGGGGGGGCACTGCAAAGAACCTTCAACCCCCTCCTCTCCCTTTCCTTGAAATAAATCCTGCGCATGCCTGTGGATTTAACAGCTTCGCTGTTAAAACTCGACTTTTTGTTAGCAGCGCACGGCCCTCCATGCCTCACCTTTTGCAATGTCCTTCTCGTGGATGATTTTACCGCCCCGCTTGCTTGTCTTCTCCACTTGCAATGCCTGGCTCATTCCTTGCTCCTGCTTGCCCAGACCCTGGCCCGCCTTGTAGCCGTAGCGAGCCATGATGCGCTGAGCTACTGACCCGGACCTGCGCTTGCAACCCCCGGCTGTTTAGCTTTCTGCACAACCATACTGTGCCAGCTTACCTAACAGTGTGGGCATGAGGACCCTCATGACATAGCACGTGCACCAACACCACTAGTGAGAAAGTAGTACATAAAGCAAATAGCTGAGCTAGCTAAATTTCGACACATCATGCATTAAAAAAAAACATGGGCGAAAAAAAAGGAGAGAGAGGAGAAAGTAATGACGAAAGAACACAACTGACGCAGAGAAAAGAAAGCAAAGAAAAGCAGAGAGAAAAGAGAGAAAAGAAAAGCAGAGAACATTTGAAAAGATTAGGCTTGTGTAAATAGTAAATTTTAGGTTCCAAGCGAATTTGAAGTGAATAGTGATTTGGGCTAGTAATTTGAATTGAATTTGTTAAGTGTATATCACATATAAAAAAATTGGCAGATCTCGCGTACAGTGGGAATCGATGATAAGCAAAGCACAAATGAGAAAGGTTTATATGTCACTTTAAAGTCAACAGAACGTTACGAGGTTGAGGTAAATGATGCCGTACATCACTTCCGTGTCATGATTATCATATTTGGATGTGTCATTTATCTTCGTCATCTATTCACGTCACGTGATACCAAATTTAGTATATGTGGAGCTAGCGAAACGACCGCGAGAATGCTATGAGCATGCTATGAGCGTGGTATGTTGTCATGTTCTTATATAACATGCGTGTCAGGATTATTATGTTTGCGCCAGTCATATACTTTCATCATCCATTGACGTCATGTAACACCAAAGTTGGTATATGTGGAGCTAGCAAAACGGCCACGAGTGGATCATGAAGGGCCCAATATACTCCAATGTAGCATTGACGCGCGCGCATGCTGACTTCGGCTAGAATGCCAGTGATAACCTGTAAAAATATGTTATGTTTCAAAATTGACTATAGCTCACGCACATGAGCCAATATAACAAGCTTCTAAGCTTACAAAAAATTACGAATCAATGTAAAGGTAGTATACGTTCATTTAACTTTAATGTGGGGCTTTGCGACAGTGCAGATATTGCTTTGACAGGTGTTTTCAAGGAATGGCATCCCCCCAGTAAAGTGAAACCACTGTTACATGTAGTTACATGCAGTTACATAAATATATATATATATATATTTATATATATTGTATACCTTGAAATTCAGGTCAATTTAAATTCATTTTGAAGATAGTTCGAATGCTGTAATGTTCATTCGAATATTCAAAGTGCCTGAATATTCGCACAAACATAGAAAAGATGAGTAAGCAATACCTGTCTCTTTCTTTTTCTTGTGTTTTCTTTCATGTGTCACACAAATACATGCTACAGTTACAAAATACCAGAGGAACTTGTTCCACGCCTAGTTGGCCCTTGCTGCACGAAATTTGCCACTAGGATAGACGTGGAAGAAAGGAGCACAAACAGGACACCACAACTGTGCGAGTAGTCCTGTTAGTGTTTCTCTCCTTCGTTCTCGTGTCTTTCCGAGCAGGCAAATATGCTATGGAATACCAACTCGTCCCAACAGCAATTCTTCTGAAAGAACACGCTCCTCTGCCTTTCTTTCTTCACCCTTATAATAGTAACAAAACAAAAATAAGGCGGTGGATGGGAGAATGGAATTGGTAATCCAGAAAGATTTTTAAAAAATTAAGGAAACTTAATAACACATGCTGGCCAGCACAGTACAGCATGTGTTATACGATATACTCATACCTCCATATAATGAACCCAGGCATAACAAAATATTAGTTATAATGAAGTAAATGAAGAACACTCTTGCAATAGATAGTGTTAGAATATACCTTTATCACAATTTTTTTGTTAATGCGAATATATTTTCATGTAAAATGCAACTCTGTTATAATGAGGTCTGAGTGTAATGATAACTTAAGAAATAGGCTTATTTATAGATTTATGCACTCGGCATGTACAGTACTCAAGGATTCAAACCAGACATCACTATTTTTGGTAAAGCAACTGGTATGCGCTGTTTCTCGAGATAACTGCACTTCGAGCTGAAATGATGCAAATACAATTCGAATTGAAGGCATTGGAAAGGAAGACAGTGGAACGAATGTGCATTACTTAGCCCTAGATTGTCCTAATTCCATCCGTGAGTCCTGTACATATGAATATGCACAGTTGGAGCAATCTGTTGCTAGTTTCGATATGTGGAGTTTAACGTCCCAAAACCACCATATGATTATGAGAGATGCTGTAGTGGAGGGCTCCGGAAATTTCGGACCACCTGAGGTTCTTTAACGTGCACCCAAATCTGAGAACACGGGCCTACAACATTTCCGCCTCTATCGGAAATGCAGCTGCCGCAGCCGGGATTCGATCCCGCAACCTGCGGGTCAGCAGCTGAGTACCTTAGCCACTAGACCACCACGGTGGGGCTCTGTTGCTAGTTTTCTATGCACACATTTCAGGTCTCCACAGGTATGTAGAACTGTGACAACGCTTGTTGGCAAATCCCAAGGGGAGGGCCACATACCCGATGCCTGGCCTTGGGCTGCCAGAGTCATCTCGGCTAACTGTCTCTTGGACAAGTGAGGGCGGCGGTGCAATCGCTGCCCCCGTTAAACCAGCTGCAAAGTAAGCAAGACAAACAGGGTTTGACATTACAAGGAAAACAGTGGCACAGGCTAATATTTTGCCACATTAATTACCATAAGATCTTGTTTAATAGAACCTGAAAAGACCAGGAAAACATATTCTGTTTAATAGTAATTATACTTACTTAAAGAAAAACGGCACTGCAGACTTCAATAATGAAACCAATAATTTCAGGGGCAGTCGTTCTATTTAGGCGGCAATGCTGATTAAGTAATTTCTTTTCATTGGCACTCTACTGTCATTCAAAAGTTAAATTTTTCAGTAGACTTTACATTGATAGGAAGCTTTATCCTTTTGTGATGTACCAAGAAAGAATATAAAAGAAAAGAAAGAAAAAAGTACTGGTCTTTATGCTCATAAGTGACATCTGCTAATTCTTCCGTGCCTTAGCAGCTACCCTACATCGTCTTATAGCCAAAACATTCAATATATGTAAAAAAACAAAAGTATTTGTTTATAGCTAAGTAAAAAAAAAAATTCGTAACGATTCTATAAGATCTGCCATTGGGTGCACAGAATGTTTAGCAATAGATGCAAATAAGATTCATGCTTTAGTTACAGAAGCTTATCAAAGCAGTTTTGTCACATTACCAAGCATTTAAACAGCAAGAGACGTAGTTTACTAGGGCAAATATTATGCCTAATTACTGGCACTTCTGACTGGTCACTTTGCAGTGCAGTGACAATACTGTGACTGCAAGAGAAAAAAAGAAACGAGAAGAGATTGGGGCTTCTGAGCAAAAGTTGGCGCAGAACTATCAACCACGCTACGTTGCACTTCACCTTGCCAGTTTGTAATTGGACCAAAGTATTCATTTTATGTAGCACAATTGCCATACTAGGCACCTTGATTACCCAGTCAAAGATACCACATGTTTCTTGGACTTTTGTTTGAACTGTAGCCTTTCTGACACAGATTTTCAAGCAAAGGTGCAAAAGCACAAAGGCAATATGAAGAAATTCAGTCACAATCTACTACATAGATCTCTTGACAGGCATTCCACCTATACAGGACTATTGAAAACTGCCATCTTCTACATTTGCATCTATGTATAGCTTGTTCTTCTGGCACACATGATTAAGCATTCAAGTAATCCAAGCAGGGCACCAATTACGTACTTCTCGACGGTCGAGGGGGAGAGGTGTCATCAACTGGGGGACGGTCCTTTTCACGGTCACGATCACGGTCCCGATCACGGTCCCGGTCACGGTCACTCTTGTCTCGCCGCTTCCTGAAGCAGTCAAGTTGAACAAGTTTAATGACTGACTGATGGAATGCACGATTGTAGTGCCTAAGTCACAAAACCTTTATGCAACTTTATTCAAGAGCGGTGTAGTCATTTACTCGAAGTCGCATTTAAAAACAGGAATGGGCACAAAATGGGATGAAATATGAAAAGAAGCATGCGAGACGGGCATAAACCTATGTGCTTGTTCAGTTACTCCATTTTCGTGCTCTTTCATAATTGAACTCACATGAATTTGCCCAAGTTTTTCTGTTTGATAATTGGAAGCTTTACAGAGATGAAAAATTGCAATTTCTATCCTCTCTGTCATCCAGCATTATTGAAAGCACCAACATCAAATTATTTGATATCTTAGTTTGCTACATGAGTCAGCTTTCGCATTTGCTGCAACATCACACGTCATTGATTTTCAGTAGCAGACGACACACACGTCTTATGCTATCATCCTGACTTTTCGGGCATCAAGGTCACGATGTATACCCACCGCTCTACTTTTGAACACTACTCCTTATAAAAACCAAACTCTGTTTTATTTTCATTCTTTCCTTATCATTGGCATATTTGCTGCTTTTTGTACAGGTAAATCAGAATTTCTCGTGCAACAAGTACTGAATTTACGATGCCATGCTAAATATAAAAGTATAAATAAATAAATATGCTTTCAAATGGTGCACACTTTATCAATATCGAACAAAACTCATGCACTGAAAAGGATTGTAAACAAAAATTATTTTAAAAAATATTTTGAGTAACAAGCCAATATCTACAGTGCAAGATTCCTTAACAAAATTTTCACGAATTTTAATTGCTAAAAGTTTACTTGGCAATCTTTATTTAAAGAATTATAACTATAAATGAAATACTTCCTGAATTAATAAAAATTACATCACACAATAAAATATTGAAGCAGTGGCCAGTCTATTAAGTTCGCTGCCAAACAAAAATAAACCATTGTCCCAGTCCCTAAACATTGTGAGCCAGCAAGTTTTCCATCCCACCTTATTTAATTGTGCTTCTCTTCCTTTGGCACACACTCCATTGAAAACACACAACCACGGTAATATACATAATTCTTTAGAAGAAAAAACAATCCGGGCTAGTTTGCCTACTGTCGTTTTCAATAAATTTTTCATAGAAGAACAAACTAACGCGGACACAACAAAATATGCAACACCGCAGGCCAGGCTAACCCCACCTGCTGCAACACCACCACCACCACCACCACCACCACCACCACCACCACCACCACCACCACCACCACCAACACCACCAACACCACCACCACCAAAACATGCAACAGACAAGGAGACGGCCCTCTTCTTCGTCTACCATATTTCTTATTGTGTTAACTTCAACTTTTTCGCGGCAAATCTCGTAAACACCCAATTCCCTTCACCTGTCATCATGCTTGCGATCTTCCTTCTCCTTCCGCTCTCGGCGTTCTTTCATCAACTTCTCGTAGTCATTGGGCCACAAGGGGTCATACTCCAATCGGACGTCCCAGTCTCCGCCAAGCAACGAGGCTGTGTTGGGTCCTTCCTGCACGGGACGCACAATCGGCACAATACTATTCAGACGAGAGGTGAAAGGTTCTACTGCTTGGGCAGCATGTAAGAATAAAAATAACAGCTACCTATTTTGCCACAAAAACACCTCTTTCTCAATCTTTGTTGAAACTTGATTCTTTGCACTATACAGTTTTTTTATTGAAAGCCCTCATAGTTTACGTAAACAAGTAGATTGATAAAGCAAGCTTATGCTACTCACACATATACAAAACAGACCGCCTTTACAGAAAATATGTTGTTGCAAGTCAAAATTTAATTAGATTTTCAGAGTGTCAAATTGTAAGCGGTAAACATTAGACCTCGGTGAATCTTTCAGTGCTACAATTATTCTAATGAATACTTCAGTATCTGAATTTATCTTGAAACAGATATAAAATTTCAGAAACTTTAGAACAAATTAATACATATATTTTACCCACGAGGGAAGAAATATTTAGGACGTGAAACTCTCGCTGAAACGGCCGTCCGGATAACGTCACATAAAATACAGAAATAACATGCTCCGACTGAGACATTTCAGTTGGCGGCACAAAGCTGCAACTAGAAAAAAAGACAAGGAAATGCTACTAGACAAGCACGGCCAAACGTGCTACGCATTCCCTCCCCGTGACTGCGGCAGAATGCGAACAATGCGTGCGACCGGTTTACTATGATACAGAATCGCTGCAAAACATCACCAGCATGAATTGGTGCTCTGTTAATGTGACATTATCTAATCGCCTCAAGAAGCCGAGTTGCACCTCCTCAATGTTTCCTCCTCTGTGATTTTACCTCATGTAACACATCTGAAAAGGTGGCTTCAGTGCAGCGTAGGACTGTTATGCTGTGAAATTGTGTATTCAAGAGTGAAGTTGCACATCAAGGTCAAGTTCACATATTACCTGCACCATATTAGAATGAAAGCATGTTAGATTGTATGGCATAGGCTAAATATAGTAAACTTTTAAAAGTGATGTACTTTATCGCTTATGACTTGAACCAAACAGTTATTCAAATCCTGCCACTGTTATAATTCAGCTTGAAATAACTATATACAAATTACAATTTGCTTTGACTTCGCTTTGAACCAAGAAAGCAACATTCGAGCAGCTTAGTAAGCACCCAACAAGCCCGTTTGTCAAAGAGCACTGATATTGTTAGTCCGCAGTAGGTTGGAGTTGTAGATTGGTGTAGTTTAAACTACAACAGAAGTGTTGGCATGAGCTACATTGTTGCAGTGTCAGAGTGATAATACCATGTTAATAAATAAAAGGATTCCCTCCTAATGCCAAGTTAACCAAATTATGGGTAAGTAAGCAGACCATTCTATGCTATGTGTAGAGACAAAACTAGGTGGTTAACACACGACGACTTTGATTGAGTGTTGCAGACATGACATGCCACATATCGCAACAAAATTAATTATGTGATGCAGTCATATGCCAAAATACTGCTAGGCATTAGGATTAAACATCACTAGTGCAGTTAGTGTGGCAATATCTATTGTTATCCAAAAAATTGCAGCTCACTTGTCTCTTCTAGTTCTAGCTATGAAGAAAACAAGTCTACTCGCCAAAATGTTGGCTCGAACACACACCCTCTGTTTATGAATTTTTTCTTCGTTATTCATAATTAGCACACAGTCTATAGAGCGGGTACTGCTCATGGTAAGCAAGCACAGCACCAACTTATAAGGGGATATTAAGTACAACCATTATGATTCATTGTATTTGCCTCCTTCTCATATAATGTTGCATGCACCTAAATTTCATGCAGTGTCTCTGGTATGTGCACATGTCTGCATGCATGCATACACACACACATGACCATAGCCATAACAACATATCAACATGTCTTGTCTTAAAGAACAATCGATAAAGGAACGCATAAAATGTGCACATACTCTGCCCTGGGCAAAGATCGCTGGAGGAGGTGGCATGTCGTCTGGGTCATCCCTGCGGGACTTCAGGTCCATCACAGGAGCCATGATTGCACTTCCCTTGCGGACAACGTCCCGCTGCAGTGCATTTACACATGATTTAGATTAAGAGTTTGAGCCCGTAAAACAAATGTTCAGACACAACATCACACAATTTAAAGGTGAACATAACCGACAGAGATCTGTCATGCTGGGTGAAAATTGATACGAATGAAATAGGCTCTCCAGCTACTTATAGTCCAAAGTTTCTAAAGTTAAAATTTATAAACTATGTTATGACCGGCATCAGTAGGCGCCATGCTGTCACTGAGAAGCGTGGCCGGGCAGCGTTCCCACGCCTAGAACCCAGTTTTCTCGGAACCAGCGTCCAGAAATGACGGGGGAGCGGCGCTCTTTTAATCTTCAAACAAGTAGCCGGCTCGCCGAATGCCTATGCCCGCCAGGCATTGTCCTTGCTAGCCGGCGGATGAGACATCACGTCGCCACGAAGCGGTAAGCCGTTCCAGAGGGGACAACAAAGACAGCGTCTTCCTTTGTAGAAACGGCGACCGCCGCCACAAAGTGCCCTGCTAATTGAGCAGACAGATTGGCGGACCGTTTGATGTCTGCTGTCCGAAGCTTGGGACCCCTCGACCAGTGACACACACGACGAGCAAGAGCCCCTCTGGCGCCACCTTTAAGTGCAGTGATCTTGACTCGAAATTGGCTGTTCACGTGCGCCGTGCCTGCTCGTACCCCTCACCTGTTGTGTGTGTGTGTGATTGGTGTTCCACTGAAGAAGGAGGAGCCCGACAGGGCTTATAACGGCGCCGCAGAGTGCAGGACGTCGCTCTGAACCAACTAAAGGTTCAACCACCACGTTCGTAGTGTGTGAAGCTCTGAACCAAGAAAAGGTTTAACCACCACGCTCGTGGTTTGTGAACTCTTAACCTCATGCTGTAAATATTTGTAAATAGTGCCATAAACCTTGTTCTGTTTTTCGCATCCTCCAACGTCCTGCTTCTTCCTTCGTCAACCGGCGGTGGGATCCACGACAACTGGTTGGCATCGGTGGGATTCGAAGCTACAAGTGACAACAACAGTCGGCCCAGGAGAAGCAGCTGGCTCGAGACATGGATCACGTATGGGTGAGTGCTTGGCTTTTCCTTTGAGTGAACCAGGTTCTAAAAGAGGGTTAAATTTTAGAACTGGTAGTTAACTTTGCCGAAAGACTCAGTTTCGCCGTTTCGGAAAGTTGTTTTGGAAGTAACGAGCACTCAGTACGATCATGGACTTACGGGAGCTGCAGAAGTCAGACTTGTTGCTGTTGTGTGAGGAATTGGGGATCGATACAAAGGGTTTGGCACGAAAACCCATAATCATTCAAGCGATTAATGATTTGGGGGCTGATGATGAGGAACTAAGTGAAGAATGGGACCTCATCATCGAAAGAAAACTAAGAGCAGCTCAGATGGAAGGAAAGAGTGAAGACGAAAAACTACACCTCAAGCTAGAGTTTTTCAAACAAGACTATGAGTTGAGTATGAGGTTGGGACGCCAGCTAGGAGTACTTCTCGAAAAGGAGGCAGAGTTCGAGATGTCTAGGTACATGCAGCCATATGAGGTATCATGGGATATGGGCCTGTATCTTAGACTCTTTGAACGAAAGTGTAGTCAACTGAAGTGTGAGCGAGACACCTGGTCTCACAAGCTACTCACGGTTCTGCCCTGCGAGGCAGCGGACGTTGTTGCGCGACTCAGTGAGCAGCACGCGAACAACTATGAAGTTATCAAAGCAGAGCTGATCAGAAGATTCGGAACTTCTGTCAGCAAAAAGAAAGAAAGACTCGCACCGGAGTCTGAAAGCGAGGCGCGTCGCAAAGCGCCGGAAGTTGAGGCGCCTCATAAAGCGCGACAGGAACAGATCGCGCCAGAGAAGGGCCCGCATATTCTCGAATGCATTCATGTAAATGATGTAGAGAACGAGGCCGTGGCCGGTCTGGAGGTGGGGACGATGTCGAAAGACGCTCCTTGCGTGGATGAAGAGGGTGCCAGCAGCCCTAATGGGCCCAGTAAGAGGCTGGAAACCTTCTTCGTGCCTAAGGGGGACCTTTCGACATTGTCAAATGTAGGCATGGTTAACGCAGTGGCAGATGAGAGCAAGAGCGCCACGCTTCAGCAGTGCAGCGATAACACCGAGCAGCTTTGCAAACATCGCAGAAAAAGGAAGAAGCGGAGGCGTTCGTCACTGCGCAAGCCTAGGTCGGGCTCCACTCCGTCCCAACAAAGAAAGGGTAGGCCACTAATCCGTTTAAGGAAATGTCAATGGTGGCGTTCCGGTAAGCACAAGCGGCGAGCCAGGTGCAGAGGGAGGAAACGAGGTACGCCACCCAAACGAAGCACGCGGTTCTGTTTGACAACTTCGGGAAAGCGGCTTTTGCCGAAGGGTCAGAGTCGAAAGGGCAGAGTGGCTAAATACCGCATAGGCGAGAACACAAAAGAAAAATTGCACAGGCTTCCCCCCTGCTTCTGGTACCCCTTTCACATTACCGAAGAAAGCCGGCCGAAGTGCAGAATGAGGCGTGACGGCAGGACACAGCCTAGCGGTTGCACGTTTTGTAGCCTCCGGCGTGCTCGAAAACCGCCGGGACCGCGACCCCATCGTGTGCGAATAAAGGAACCATGAGAAAAGGGGGAACGATCAGTTCGAGTAACTTTTGCACAGGCGTGTCAAATATTGTTACTCAGTGGAACGTTAAGATGCGTATTCAAGTCTTTTAAATTTGGTAAGTAATGTAAAGCGGTGTAAATTTTTGAAAGGGAAAACCGCCGAACTAAAGGCTGAAAATTGAAGTCCATTAATCATTTGTACGAATATACCGAGAAGGTAAAAACTGAAAAAAAATTGTTCTGTTTTTTTTTAGTGTTTCAAAGGTTTAGTTTAATATCGTATGCCTTTACTGTCATGTGGATGTGGCGTGAATTGGCATTTAAGGAAGAAGATATTAACATAGACCAGATGATTTCGTAAAATGGTTAAGTTTGGCGCAACACAGTGCAGTTGTCGTTGCGCGTTATGAGACTTGAGAGCCATTGGCACACGGTTTTATAAAAAACCTGTGCATTATTGTGAGGTGATTTTAATGAGTATCGCACCTAGGATTATTTTTGAGTTGTACACAGAGTTACAACATAACGTAAGGATGAGCAATTGGACAAATTGTTAAGGATTAAGCTTTTGGTTAGTAGTGCTGTGTATTCTGCAACGCTGTAGAACTAAGAGTAATTGAAAATGCTCAGAAGAACTCAGTGGTTTTTTCAATCAGAGGCATTAGCAAAGGCAATTTGCTTCAACCAAACGAACCTTCTAGAAAGAAGTGTTTGTCTCTGTTTTGTTGGTTTTCTTTGAAGACAATTGATCAAGGATCATATGAGCGAAACGGTAAGCTTTTTTCTAATTCTGAGCAAACTAAGAGTATTTTGGCCACAGTGTAGGCCAAAGATTCAGAAAAGCTAGAGAGCTTTATGTCTCAGTGGAAGACAATTATGGGCGGCCGTAAACAAAGACGGACGTTCGGACAAAAGTAGCGCTCACTGAATCCGAGTTCCTGACTGATGCTCTCAGCGGGACAGAACCGATGAAAGTAGTCAGCGATGAAAAAGAGCCTGCTGTTTTATATCAGGACGACAATGGTACCAAGCAAAGCTGCGCTTTGCTTGCACCAGAATTTGGGCTCTCGTGAGATAACGTACTGCGCTTCAGGAAATGAATGCGCTTGCCTTGTGTAGGCCATTCATCAGTTGCAGGTTATCTCAGAGGTGCTAAATTTAAAGTAGGGACAGACCATTTTCCCCTTACTTGGCTGCAAACCGTGACATAAAAGAACAGTCGCCTTGTGAGGCAGAGCTTGATTCTTCGAAAATACAATTTTGGCATTAGGTAAAAGAAGGGCAAATTGAATGGAAACGTTGACACGCTCAGCCGCCATTCTGGGGTGCTCTTTCTGTATCAAAATTGATATTTTAGTTTTTTTCGTGCATCTTATGTAAATTTGTAAGGTAGCACGTCCGGTTTTTCAGCTCAAGTGAGTCCTGAGAGTTTTGAGTGTGAGCTTTTGTTAAAGCTAGGAAATGAAAATTGGTTTCCATCCCTCTTTTGGCTTGGTTTGATCGAAGGGGGCCGAGTGCTTGCTTGTACAGGTGGTCGAGTATCAGAGATGCTGTCGAAGATTCGGCGATCACCCGGACCATGCCACAAGCGAAGGCCAGTTCCTGGCATTCAACTACTGACCTTTTCGTCGTCCCTGCGAGCAGCAGTGTTGACTGCTGCCCTCCGTGACTCATCTGGCGAGGGGGAAGCTGTTATGACCGGCATCAGTAGGCGCCATGCTGTCACTGAGAAGCGTGGCCGGGCAGCGTTCCCACGCCTAGAACCCAGTTTTCTCGGAACCAGCGTCCAGAAATGACGGGGGAGCGGCGCTCTTTTAATCTTCAAACAAGTAGCCGGCTCGCCGAATGCCTATGCCCGCCAGGCATTGTCCTTGCTAGCCGGCGGATGAGACATCACGTCGCCACGAAGCGGTAAGCCGTTCCAGAGGGGACAACAAAGACAGCGTCTTCCTTTGTAGAAACGGCGACCGCCGCCACAAAGTGCCCTGCTAATTGAGCAGACAGATTGGCGGACCGTTTGATGTCTGCTGTCCGAAGCTTGGGACCCCTCGACCAGTGACACACACGACGAGCAAGAGCCCCTCTGGCGCCACCTTTAAGTGCAGTGATCTTGACTCGAAATTGGCTGTTCACGTGCGCCGTGCCTGCTCGTACCCCTCACCTGTTGTGTGTGTGTGTGATTGGTGTTCCACTGAAGAAGGAGGAGCCCGACAGGGCTTATAACGGCGCCGCAGAGTGCAGGACGTCGCTCTGAACCAACTAAAGGTTCAACCACCACGTTCGTAGTGTGTGAAGCTCTGAACCAAGAAAAGGTTTAACCACCACGCTCGTGGTTTGTGAACTCTTAACCTCATGCTGTAAATATTTGTAAATAGTGCCATAAACCTTGTTTGTTTTTCATATCCCCATCTCGTAAGCGCTCGTTTCCTCAACCCGAAGCTACACCACGCTACCACAGCTCACCGGGATCGCGACGACTGGTCGTCAGCGGTGGGATACGACTCAGCACCCCGAGCCGCAACAACTGGTGATCAGCGGTGGGATTCGAATCAGCACCCCGAGCCGCAACAACTGGTTGGCAGAGGTGGGATACGACTCAGCACCCGAGTCACCACAACTATAAGCTGACTCTACGTTTCAGGACCAATTCAGTCCCTTCTTCAGGAATGACTGTTCAGCTAGCTGAGCACGCCGAACAGTCATTCCTGTCATCATACATGACAGCCAAACAGAAGTTTAGTTTATTTGCACCTCACAGTGCAAATTTAAAGCAGGCATATTACTTTAAAGGGGCCCTGTAACACTTTTTGAGCGTGGTCAGAAAACACTGCCGATTGGTAGTAGAGGCTCCTGACAACACGCAGGCCAAATGTTATAGCGCAACACGTGGCCTGGAATTCACAATAAATTCTCAGTCACCTAAAAGTTGCTTTTTCTTCCATTGACAAATTACGGGAAGACACTCAAAAATCACTCCTAAAATGCCCATGTATCAGCCATTGGCTAATTTTAACATGGGGCGCTTGGTCGTTACAGAGATCGCACCGGGAGGTTGTCACTTGTACAGGTGTGCGCGTGCAATCGCACTGAAAAAGTCGTGTATTGGAAGAAAAAGAAAGAACAAAAAAAAGTGCTCAAAGTCACGAGGCTCACATGATGTTTTTTGTTTTCCCCTTCCATCCCTCCCTGCTTAGCTTCTAGCACTTTTGTCGGGACGAAAGAAGAGAGAATGCGATTGCAGCATGTGACAAATATTTGTAACTCCGCTCGTACTGGACGGATTCTCAAAATTTTTGCGTCGTTAAACTTGTGAGACAACAAGCTCTTCCAGTAAATTAATTCCAAGGTTACTCCGAAAAGTGTTTCAGGGCTCCTTTAAAATGGACATATATGGTTAGGTTTCCGTTTTTATATCTCCTGTATCTCACTACCTCTTAGTATCAACAGTCCCTTGAAATACGAATATGCAAGCTTTGCCGAGATATTTTTCCAAAGTGAAGCTAGAGATGCTAAAACTTTAAAACGCACAACTGCCCCAGCATCTGCACTGCTCTTTCATCATTGCACCTCTATGATGGCTTTCATTGACAGGTAAAGCGCAGAGAATATTCTAGTCAGAACATCATAACTACCACAGCTATTGTTTCAAACTAACCAGTTTGACATATGAATTGATGGTTAATAACATACCATGAAATTCTTATGAACTACATTTGAGAAGCCTCACAGTCAAAACTTCCACCTGAATGCACTGAGTATTGAACAAGATCATCCCACAAGAAAAGAAGGCAAAATGCAAAGCCATTTTTATTATGCAAATATAAATGCAATATATATCTTGTTTATGGTTCTCGAATACCCTTAGATGCATTTTAATATGCCCAACAATGAATTTACCAGCACTAGTAATAATACTTTTATGATATGACAAAGCTTGAATTCATAAATTATACACGTGGGCTAAGATGCAGTCTTTATTTCAGCTAACAAGAAAAGTTGCCTGCTGTTATAGCAGCCGTTTCATTGTTCAAAAGAAATGACTTGGTGGCTCGCAACTATTTAAGACTGCAAATATAAGTACAATATTTCTGCTTTACACATCACACTTTGCAAAGATTAAAAAACTATGATCTACTATCTGTAATTTCAACTGACACAGCAAAGCTTGCATTAGCTATTGATTTAAACTTTAAGAAAATATTGAACTATTTCAGACAGTAGTACATTGCTTTTATAGCAGGCCTTACTTAAACAAGAGTGCTATTTTTTCTGCTAGAAGAATCCTTTATACACATATAGGTGCCTTTTGAAGCACTTTTCAATGCACAGTTCTTACTTTATTGTCAATTAACACAATAAATTTTCCATTTCAAGCAAGATTTCCACTAAGCTTTACCAAGAAAGAAGTGCTGAAAGTATGATCAACTGGAATGTTATACTTCTGTAGTTAAATATGAAACAATGTTCTAGAATCTGTAGTCTCCTAATAAAATAGCACAAAAAATGACAACTTAACTACTGCCATTTGCTGGTACTAGTGCCGAACATTTTAATGATGTGCCATTTTCACTCCACATCACGGATAGAATCTAAGACGATAGAGCAATGGCAGCAAGGCATGCAACAAGACGCAAAATATTTGCAATGAACTTGCCCTGGGTTGCGTCATGGCAGCCTTTTTCAGCTGCAGCTGCGACTGCAACAGCTTTATACCAGACGACCATCCCGCTGAAAAATATAGGCAAGTGATTATTACAAGTTTGACTTCCAGGAAGAACCTGATGTAATCAGAAGCATACTCTAATGCATCACTATCATGACTCTCACACTGTTTCAGCCCATTACAGGACAAAGGCCTCTGCCAAAGATTTCCAGTGAAACCTATTCTGTGCCAGCTGATTCCATTTTATCCCTGCAAACTTGTTAATTTTATAACTCCATCTAACTCGTTAGCCTTCCTCGACCGTGTTTCCCATCTCTTGCTTTTACTGTCCGCTGGTTTTCTGGTCTACGTTCTTGACGGCTACCCGGGTCTATTCCTTTGCCCGATGTCAAATACAGTATCTGCTACACAGCTATCTTCCCTGCTTTTCTCCAATCTCTTAATGTGATTTCTATAATTTTACGTTCCATTCCATATAATGCCGCAGCTACAAAAAACAACAACAAAATACACGAGTCAGTGGACAGTATTTATAGCTTCCCTGCCTTCAACTTTATTCAACTGTTGTCTGGTTTTTCGTCGACACAATGTCAAGAAAAAATTCAAAGCCTTCCCGTAACAATATTTTTAGCTGTCACTTTCTCTCTTTCGTTCCTTCAAAAATTACAAAACGGCTGCGGCAAAATGATAGCACGGCGCAACCTGTGACTCCTGCGAACACACGTTACACAAAGTATAACTTAGCTTCACGCTTGCTGTAAGCGTGGACGATGGAAAATCAAGGTGGGATACGTTGCGCTAATTTCGTGAAGTTAATGAAAGGTACGTGCTTGACGCATTGGGATTCGTGCCGTCACCAGCATCAAGTATTTGCACGCACATATATTAAGTACTACACGAGATGAGTGATGCTATCGAGGGAAAGGAAAACCAATATACAGCAGTGATAACAAATTGCCGAGGCCTTTTTTTTTTTTTTTTCGGAAGAACGACTTTGTTAGAAACAGGATTTGCGCGCGATGGCAGCGACGTGCGCTCCTAGCGGTTCGTGGTTCCGTTTTTCTTTTGATTACTACAAGAATGAGGAAACCAAGCTCACCCAGATCAGCTTTCTGATCCCTCGGGCCTTTGTCCTTCGAGTCCAAGCCCAGGCCGTCGTAAAGAGACATGTTCGGCTGAACCCTTCAGCGTGGGAGCACTAGTAGGGAGCCCTCGGAAAACGCGTTAGTCGATTCGACCACTCCACCACGTTTCTGCACGGCCACAGGAAAGGTAAGTACGTGAGAACAACACCGTGTAGTCGCTACGTTGTAATCGCTACGCGCGCCCAGGGATTTGCAGTCCGATACGATCCACGATGTCGAGTAACTTTGATGGAAGCTTTCCCTACGAAGAAGTCACGACTACTAGGTGCTTCAATGCCGGCACTAGTTCACCTTACTTTCAAAACGCCGGTCGCTACCCTCGATCAACACGAAATGTGAATAAAATTTCGACGGTAGACGTGATAATAACACTTGACATTATTTTCACCTTGCTTGTTGAGCGACGTGAAAATAAATATTTCCAAATTGACATATGAGTGACAGAGTGTTTTGACGTAATAATAATCGAAGATTAAAAGCAAAATAGTCAACCACAACCTACCGAAAGCAACCAAATATGATTTGCCACAATGTCATGTTAGATGAAGTATTCTTTATTGGTTATTAACTAGTCGCACCCGTTTCCTCACGTTGTAGACACCGTTGTAGTTTTTTTTTTGTTTTTTTTTTCCAAGGACCTAAGGCGCTGCGAGCCCGTATATGCTCCCTACAGAGGCAGCATGGAGGAAGGAATAACTGCTCCGTGGGAGCAGCACTTCTACTAGGGTGGCTAGAATATGAGGTGTGAAAAGCGGCCGCAGAAACCGGTCCCCAAGGCGCGCCGATGCCGCTTGGGGCGCTGCACGCACCGGCGCGGGTAGCCTTTCGCAGGCGATGTACGAATGAGCGCGCGCTGCTCGCCGCAGCGCGCTGCTCGCCGCAGAAAAACGAAGCAGTTTTAGCTGCCTATAGGCAGCTAAAACTCATCTGAGTTAATGTATACATTAACTCAGATGAGTCACGCATTAAGAGCGCCAAAATTTACCTATACCGCTAAGCGTGTGACTTGAGAATTGTTCCCAGCAGCATAAATTTAGCAGACACTTTTTCACAAAAACACAACTTTATTTCCACGCATGCCATTCATGCACTGCCACTAGAGTACGCATGGCTTTACTCTCCGCCCTTTCTTTTCGTCTTCCTTTTGGTTCATCCCTTTCAAAAAAAAGTGGACACGAGTGAGGCAATAAAATCGCACCACACTTTTCGTCAAAAAAGCAGCATGCTTTGCGCAACCAATTTGTTGCGTCTCGCCTATCCCCTTCATCATCTCAACGGCCGATTTGGCATGAAGACGTGATGTGCTCAAGAAGCGAGTGATTTTGTTCTCAAGGGATAATATCAGGTTATAGAAGGAATTCGACGGATACAAAAGTCCTCCGAGATCCCACAGCTTGCTTGCCTGGGCTGGGAGATTTCCTGGCACATTTTCTTTAGAAGCAAGGCAGGCGTTCTTGCAATCATCACAATTACTACGAAGTACACGCTTTCTTGCGACATAACCTGCGACATAATACACAAGGCGGGCGTCACTTCGCTCAACAGTGTATGACGCATGATCTACAGACACTTCTAGCACGTCAGATGAAAGTCTTTCGTTGTCTTCGTTGTGATCTTCCACCTCGTGCAGCATTTCTTCCAGAGAGAGAAGAGATTCCACCACTCCGTCAGCTACATTGCCACCCTTCGGACTCTTTGCCAGGCTATAGAAGCTGAGGCATCTATAAATAAACAATGCATATTTTACTCACAACAGCAGTCAAACATAATCAGATGCGTAACAAGTTTATACGACATGCAACATAAGGCGTAAAATTTGATAATAAAATACCTCGTGATAACAACAAACTGTGCAGGGGTTGGGTGATCATTGCCACCACCTGCCTGCCGCACGATTCCGAAACAGCGCTCAAGGCAGTCTTGGCTTAGGCGAGCCGTCATGAGATACTTGAAATGTACTTCCTCACACAGGTACTCCAGGAGGTGCTTCGTACTTTTCAACGTCACACGCAAACCCACTGCGGTACTTTTGCTTAGAAAGCCAAGTCCTCTTGCGTGAGCTTCCCACAAATCGAGGAACTTTAGTGCCTGGTCAAGCACAGCTTCCTTTCGGCTGTGAAGCCTGAAATAATGTTTATGTATGAAGCGTAGAAACTTTGTCTGGACTAATTATCGACAGGGTAAATATTTCACTCTTACCGTAAAGCTTCTGCTGGAAACCTGGATGTCATCACCTCGATTAGTTCCGCCATGAGACCAATAACGAGTCTTGTTGGCTCAACATTTGTGTATTGCTCCTCGATCTGATCTTTGTAAAAATCTAAGCACCGAGTCACTTGGGCACTGAAAACATGAAATGTTAAGTCCACACGCATTTTCTCGAATCCATTTGGAAAGATATGTGATCGAGTCAGCTTTGGTGCCACTTTCAAGGTGATGGCACTGCTGTCAAGTTTCCACATGGTTGACACATGATCCCAGTGGGCCTGTAAAATTTCCACATTGCATCAGGAACTGTTAAGGATTCAAATTAGCATTGAGAAGTACGCATTATGCATAAAAATTCCACAGAAATATTAGAGCCAACTTGCCCTTCCGTTGTGGGTGTTGAAGCCCTGCTTCATCATTGTGTTTCTCACGCACTTCATGAGGTGAGGGAAGTCCGATATAAAGTACAAAAATCGGTGTTTGTTGCACGGATGAACAACTCTGCACTGAATGTCATTGAGGGTGGCGCGTATCCCCAGGATGTTCCACATAGATCTGTTCCAGGGCGCACCATCACAGCAAATGTAATCCACGTAGAGGCCGGCTTGCTCACACAAAATTGTAGCTTCTACCAAAAGTTTTGTCAACAGCCTGGCTTTTACGTTCCCGCTGGATGAAAACACACCTGAAGAGAAATAGAGCATTACAAAACGCTTCGGCATATGTGCCTTAACAGTGCAAAAAATATATTACCAATGATTTGTGTCCATTTCCCCACAAATGGTTGGAACATTATGACAAGCCCATGGTCAGCTTTGCGGTGTCTTTCATTGGCATCGGTAAACTTGCCGAGGTCGACAAAGCCTTCAATATTGCTGGACGACTGCAAGTCCAGATGAGCAGAGAGTTTCATTTCATCCACTACTATGCCCCCATGCCTCTCCATTTCATCCATGTCTTTAACTTTTTTCTTCAGACAGCTCAGGAGTTTGGTATTAAACCCATAAGCAGCAGCGAATCCCTGTAGATAAAAACATTAGGAACCATCTCTATACTGCACACCATATGCAATCACATACCTTGATGTATTTTTGAAGGCAAGCACGGCTTGGCAGGACAAGAATTCTGTGTGCTCTAAGATGCTCATACAGTCGTGCACTTTTCATTCTGAGGATGATGCACTCAAGGAGCCATTCTTTATTGTAGTTATATCCGCGCAAGGACCTTCGTTTGGCAGCGTCAAAACAAGCCTGCACCGCAGCCCGTTGCTTTTTTGGAAGAAGTTTCAGCTGAAATAATTAAGAAGCTATTAGTAATGAATCTATAACAACTTAATGGGACAGTGTACCTTTTCCTCTAACACAGATGCAATGATTTGTGAAGTCTTTTCTCGCATCTTCTTCAGGGCATCCTGCAAGGTAAGCAGCTTCATTTTCTTTTTCTTCAACGTACGAACAGCCCATTTCAGTCGTTGTGCAGCTGTTCTTGCAAGTGGCCGCTTAGTCTTTTTTTTTTTTAGACGGAGCAGACGAGCCTTCAGAAGGTTTCTGCATTTTCTGCAGGCAGTACAACGTCCAGATGAGCCATCTGTAAAGTGTACCATAATCGGTGGATAAGTCTAACCAAAGCAGGGACAGGTATCTACAGGCTCAAATAAAATATTTTAGGCAGGGTTTGCGCAACTGCGATATCTCATAATACCTTGTAGCGAAATCGATGAGGAACCATCGCAAGAAAGGGAGAAGACACGATTTTGAGATAGCTTCGCCTTGCTTTCCAAATTCAGTGGTTGGAACTCTTCCATTGTCCCAATTCCTACGCAGGGTGTCAATGTGTCTGCATACTTGAGAAGATCCTGTGCTTGGCTCACTGTCTGACAGCCACTTTTTTTGAATAGGAACCCGTTCAGAAAGATGCTGCACTGAGCAGCTGCTCCTTCCTCAGCTTCAAACAACACTATCTTGTTGTGAATAACAGGAGGTGTTAAATCTCTGTCCAATTTAGCGGTCTGGTAGCATAATGCATTCGTTTGCTCGAACTTCTGCATCGACCACAACTCGCTAGGACGGTGAAGCATAGCACTTAAGGAATGCAGCTGTTCGGTCAACATGACGTTCTGTTCTGAAACGATCACGTCATGGTCAATCGCTGAGCCTTCTTCGACATTGTCGTGGTTCACACTAATTCTTTTACTCGAAACAGCACTTTCAGCCACGCTTTTCCGTCTCTTTCTCTCCTTGGGCAGAGCTTTCGTCAAGTATTTAGGCAAATTAGGAAAAATCGTCGGCACGGCGTCATTTGTTAAGGTCGGCACAGCGCGCGGCATGTATACATCTTCACCATTAATCCTATGTTTGAACGTACGCACGACAAATCTGTGAAAAAGAAAAGAGAAAAGGACAGCCAATTGGTTATGTTGCAATGCAGCATGTGACACGTGGAACGCAAGTAAGCAAAATTGGTCTCTTGCTCGGGTGTGCGAACACCGTGCCTTCTATTTTTTGTACATACCTTGGGTCGAAGTGCTTCTCGCACACTGCGGAGTTCTCGTCAAGCTGTTTGTCCGCTCTTGGAATAGCACGAATCCATTTGTCGAACAGCACACTACACGTGGGAGCTCGGAAAAGGGAAACTTTCTCTCCTGAAGAATTATAATATCCAGTGTTGCAGCCAGGCACAAAGCACCAACGTTGCGTCTTCTTTTTTGTCGTTGACATCTTCGGACATTTCAGAGAGACTCAACGCAATCACCGATCGACGACATACTTGTAAGACAGTGCGACTGCTAACGAAAAAAATTATGGCGCGACTGAAGCAAACCCAGCGAAGTGCGCCGCTCACTACCCGCGCCGCTGCCATCAGCGCCCCTAGCGGCATCGGCGCGCCGAAGGACCCTCTCCGCCAAGCGAAAGGCGCCCCGCTCATCACACCTCCCCATTCTAGCCACCCTACTTCTACCTTCCTCTATGGGGAGCAGGGTTGCGTATAGGTCTGCCATTATGTTCAACGAATGTACAGTGAAGCTACTCGTCGCGCGCGCAGGAGAAAAATACGGTGCGCTGTTCCGACGCGGGTGGCGTGCCAGAAACTTATTCACGCGCGCTGAGCAAGATTGCACTGTTGCGGTGAGGTGGTATATTGCTATAGGTAGCCAAAATGCTTGAGGCCCGTACCACTTTACAGCTTCAAGTGCACTGCCCTTTTCCGAGGTTGTTGTTCATTACTTTCGTTTTCTGCACATTAAATTTAAGACCCATCTTTCTGCTCTCCTTGTCTACCTCAGTAACTATGAATTGCATTTCGTCCCCTGAGTTACTCAGCAATGCAATGTCATCGGCGAAACGGTGGTTACTAAGGCACTCTTCATTAACTATTATCGCTAACTCTTCCCATTCTAGGCCTCTGAAAGCCTCCTGTAAGAACGCGGTAAATAACATTTGGAGATCATATCTCCTTGTCTTACGCTCTTCTTTATTGGTATTCTGTCGCTTCCTTTATGGAGCCCTATGGTGGCAGTTGATTCTTTATAAATTTCTTACAGGATATTTATATATGTTTTGTCGACGCCCTGATTCCGCAGTGTTTGCATGACTGCTGATATATCGGTTGAATCAATGCCTTCTCGTAATCTATGAAGGCTATGTAAAGTGGTTGGGTGTATTATGAGAATTTCTCTATTACCTGATTGATAGTATGAATGTGGTCGATTGTGGAGTAGCCTGTTCAAAATCCTGCTTAATTGATCATTTCTAACGTTATCTTAATTATGTTAATAATTATACCTTTGTAAATAGCTTGTATACGACAAAGAGCAAGCTGATAGGTCTGTGATTCTTCAAGTGACCGTTCCCTTTCTGATGGATTAAGATGATGTTAGCATTCTTCCAATATTCTGGTACTCTCTCCATCAGGAGACACTTCGTAAACAGTATGGCTAGTTTTTTCTAATACAACCTGTTCTCCGTATTTCAGCAGATATGATGTTACCTGATCCTCCCCAGCAGCTTTGCCTCTTTGCATTCCCTCCAAGGCTTTTCTGACTTCTCTAATTACTGGTGGGATGCCATCTGGGTTACTGCTAGTTCTTATATTAACGTCGTGGTTTTCCCGGCTATTGTACAGATCTCTGTAAAACTCCTCCGCTACTTTAACTATCCTATCCATAGCCTTCGTTGTACCTTAGTGCATACATCTGGTTTTTGCTTATCCCAAGTTTCCTCTTCCACGCTTTGACGCTCCATCCGTTCTTTAGAGCATGTTCGATTCTCTCCATGTTATACCTTCTTACACCGGATACCTTATGCTTATTAATTAACTTCGAAAGTTCTGCCAGTTCTATTTTGTCTGTTCTGTTTAAGGCTTAGACGTTTCTTCATGAGGATTTTTGTCTCGTGGGACAGCTTGCCAGTGCCCTGTTTAACTACTGTACCTCCAACTTCCACAGCACACTCCGTAATATGATGCTCGTCAGATTATCATTCAATGGTATCAACGCTACGGCCGGTTTCCTCGATAAGAGCCGAGTATCTGTTCTGAAAAGAGGCTCTGAATTCCTGTACTTTCCCTCTCAGTGCTAGCTCATTGAGTGGCTCCTTGCGTAACAGTTTCTGTCGTTCTTTCTTGAAGTCTATAGGTGAATTTTGAGAACTTACCGTTCTATGGTCACTGCACCGTTCGTACCTTGCCAAGCACCAACGTTTTTAGATGTTGCCAAGCACTTCCACATCCTGCTCAATGCCTGGGCGTGCACGCAGTATAAAGTTTTACTTTCACCATTAGGGCTCCTCCATGTCCACTTACGGTTCACTTGTTTTCGGTAGAAGGTATTCAAGATCCGTAAATTATTGCGCACTGCGGATTCTACTAATAACTCCCCTCTGGCATTTCTAGTACCGATACCATAACCACACATTGCCTGGCCTCCAGCCTGCTTTTTTCCCTACCTTGGCATTGAAGTGACCCATCATTATGGTATACTGTGTTTTTACATTATAACTCATTGCAGGTTCCACATCTTCATAGAAGCTTTCAACTAATACGTCATCATTTCGCATAGGCCTGTACCACCTTCATCTTAATTGCATCTCTTATAAAGTTTAATTACGATACCTGCTACACTTTCATTAACACTATAGTATTACTCTATGTTACCAGATATATTTCTGTGGATAAGGAACCCCACCCGAAGTTCTCTTTTGTCAGCCAAGCCATGATAGCAAAGGACGTGCACATTTTGTAGCACTGTATAGGCCTCATCTATCCTCCTAACCTCACTGAGCTCTATTACATCCCATTCAACACCTTCTAGTTCCTCGAACAGCACAGCTAGGCTTGCCTCACTAGATAATGTTCTAGCCTTAAACGTTGCCAAGTTCAGGTTCTAATGACGGCCTGTCCTGACCCAGAGATTCTTAGCACCCTCTGCTGCGTCGCAGACCTGACCACCGTCGTGGTCAGTTGCTTCGCAGCCGCTGGAGACTGAGGGCCGAGGGTTAATTGGCGCATTCATGTGAGAGGTAGTGACCATGATACTGCACCAGCGTAACCGATCCTTCTCTGGTGGAAGAGTGCGTTACAGACGGTGGTCACCGGTGAGGCCACACCCCAGGCCTCTCAGTGCAATTTCGTCATCACGCGCATAATTTTTTCTCTTTTTTGAGTTTGCAGCGATGACGTAGTGGTTATAGTGTCAGCCTCGCGTGCAAAAGGTCCGTGGTTCGAATCCCGGTTCCACGCAATTTCCCACTGAATTAAAAAAAGAAAAAAAAATTATCCACGCATATATTTAGGTGCGCGTTAAAGAACAGCAGACGGTCAAAATTTCTGGGCCCCGACGGCGTGCCTCATATCGTGGTTTTGGCACGTAATGCTGCGTCCTCTGCAGGGGCGGATCCATCATTTGTGCTAATTGGTGATAGAAGGTAGACGGCAGGTGCTGAAGCCAGGGAGGTGGGGTTGCTGACACACGCTTTATAAAAGGTGGGGGGGGGGGGCAATCACCCCCCTCTCTCTCTTTTGTATTCTCCATTGGTTCTAGGCCATGGTTTCGTTCGGCCTGTCGCACACGGAGCCGCGGCAGCAGCCGCTGTGCCATATCGCCACCGCAGCAGTGGCGGCGGCGCTTATCGCGGCCCCGGTAGTGGCCGACGCGTTCGTCTCGACCCGTCGTTCAGTCGCGTCTTTGACGACCACCCGAGATTAGCCTCCAGCGCCGGTATACGAGCATCTTGAAGCCAGCACACGAGAGAATCGCACGGATATCCAGCGGAGCCGAGGTCTCGTGAACGGAGGGCCTGCCATGCCGGAGAATGCATTCGTCGATGGCGGTAAGGCTTTCGTCTAATCGCCAAATGGATGAAACACACGCCGGACTGCGCGACGATTTTTAGCGCTTTTGATCGGCATATCTTTGAAGAATACCGGTGAATCCTCGCTGAGCAAGGAAACAGAAGTCGGGGAGGCAAAACAGGGAAGCGTACGGTTTACTATCCTACTCTGAAGGAGTAACAGGGCATAGAATGACGGTAAGAGAAATAATAAAGTGAACGGTTATTTCGCGCGCGCATGCTGGGCTGCTCCCATGGGCGTGCGTATGGGGGGAGGGGGGGGGGCAGCGCAAGCTGCACCAATTAACCGGAGGCGCAGGCCAATCGTCTCCAAGAAAAGTTCACCTGCCTAGTGGGTCGACTGCAGCAATGCGATATGCGTTGTTATAACTCACTGAGGTGATTTTGTTTGGGTTGAAACTATAACACTACAATAGTTTTCGGCTATATCTTTTTCAAGCTGTCACGATTCCATTTTGAACGAATAGATGTCGCGCTTTGCAAACTGCGAGAATTTGATAGCATGATTCAACACTAAGGCGCAGCGCATTCAGGACGGGCGAAATCACTCAGACGAAATGTACAGAAGCGGTCAGTTTATACTTATAGATTGATTTGTGTGGTTTAACGTCCCAAAACCACCATTTGATTATGAGAGACGCCGTAGTGGAGGGCTCCGGAAATTTAGACCACCTGGGGTTCTTTAACGTGCACCCAAATCTGAGCACACGGGCCTACAACATTTCCGCCTCCATCGGAAATGCAGCCGCCGCAGCCGGGAATTGAACCCGCGACCTGCGGGTCAGCAGCCGAGTACCTTAGCCACTAGACCACCGCGGTGGGGCCAGTTTATACTTATGCGCGCATTCTGCATGCCTGCTTCACGCATTTTAATGTTAAACTGTTGTATTACCTCCTTTTACGAACAAGTTCACTCACCCGTGCACGTTTGTTTAATTGTATCAATTGGCCGACAAAGGTTTTCACAGGGATAGATTAGGTGCTGCACATTCAAAACGCTTCAGCAATGGCATAAACCATGGAAGAGAGGGGGAGGGTACTTGCAAGTGTTCCTACTTGACATTCATTTTTAAAACATCCTACAGTTTGATGATCACGCTAGTCGAATACATATCCCTTAAGTGGCCATTACTCATAACGTACGACACATTTTGTATTCGCCTTCTTCTTTAACGCCTACTTATTCTGGAGCACAGACATGCTAGAAGAATTCTTCCGAGAACAGTGCATAAATGCGACTGCCTCCAACTTTTCACTATGCCAACATGCCTGCTTGCTGCGGTCACTAGAAAGTCAATTATCGAATCTTATTTATTTGGGCAGCTAACAGCGTTAATTATTGTCTCACTTTGTGTCCCCATGGATAAATAAAGGTGGTTTTGATGTTCTTCTCTGTGCCGAATTTTAAGAAAAAACATACAGCTAAATTTTGAACATGCCTGTATATACATTGTGGCAGCTACGGCTGTAAAAGTATTGAAATTTTTCGGTAAGGCAACATGTTTCGCACAACCCGAAAAAAAAAAACAAAAAAAACTTATAGACGAATTATGGATGTCTCAAAGAACGCATGCTTGGGAAGTGGCTGCCTCCGCAAATAATTATGTCTGTTCATAGCTTTGTTTATGCAAAAGAAGGCTGAACAAAAGAACAAAACATTTGGTAGTGATGAGAGACTGTATAGGAGCTTCGCAAAACGCGACACGCTTTCGCAGCTGTTTCCGGTGAAAAGTGGCGATCCGAAACCAAACTAGTATGGTGAATTCGCAAAGAAAAAGAGAAAAAAAAACGATGCAGCCGCACATGCCTCCGCACTTGTTTCAAAGCTGCGTCAAACTCGCTCGCACTTTAGTAGAACTCGCACCACGGGTGTGGTGTCCATATTTGTTTCTTTCTGTGCGTGGTGCACGTTCTTTCGGCGCGACGTTGAATATTAAATCGCTCGCACTCGGTACTGATTTCGCATTGTACGTAGAGCGACATCCCAGAATCGGAACGTACGTATACACGCATTTCATGCTTGCGGTTTCTAAAAAAAGTTTCATTCCAAGCAGCGCAGAAACGGCACACTGACGAGACCACACAACACGCGTGCTGGCTTCCAGCAGGATTTCGTTGAGCGAACGCGAAATATATCGGCAGAAAAAGACAACAGAACACATGTGATAAGCATGATAAAAGGGTTGCCCCACCGCGGCGGTCTAGTGGCCACGGCACTCGGCTTCTGACCCGCAGGTCGCGGGTTCGAATCCCGGCTGCGGCGGCTGCATTTCCGATGGAGGCGGAAATGTTGTAGGCCCGTGTGCTCAGATTTGGGTGCACGTTAAAGAACCCCAGGTGGTCGAAATTTCCGGAGCCCTCCACTATACGGCGTCTCTCATAATCATATGGTGGTTTGGGGACGTTAAACCCCACATATCAATCAATGATAAAAGGGTTCACCAAGGAGGGGCGGTTACAGGCAAGAAATCTTATTGGATGTCAGAGCTTGTATTGTGCGGTCTCATCAGTGTCCCGTTTCAGCGCTGTTTGAAATAGCTATAGTATGTGTGCGTACCAACAAGGCCGATTTACCATCACTTTGAACCTTCATACTTTCCGCGCGAAAGTGTCACTGATTTCCAGGGGAGTGGGAATAGTGATGTTCGAGACCGAGTATAGCGGACGAATGGAACAGTTCCGAAAGCGAACGCGAAGCGCATTTCGAATAGTTTTCGGCTGTTGAACAGCCGCTTTCAAGACGATTATCAAACTATGCTCACATCCTGACACTCGAACCTTTAAAATGAATTACCAGCTATCTTTACTGTCAATAAAGTATACCGCGCAAGCGCTTTCGCAACCCTACTTACTCAGAGTACGTTGACTGCAGCTGAAAAACAAAAGTTAGTGTGAAAAATAAGTTGTGAGAGTAAAGAAGCGCTTGTGTTGTCCATACCCCCCTTTGTTCTCGCTGGCGCGCGCTCAAGTGTCCTGCGAAGAATCTAACGGCTGATTTAGACGATTCCCAGCACTGGCGTATTCCCGAGAATTTTCTGCAATGGCAGTTCGAGCTTCGCGTAAAGTACAACTTTTTTTTTTTTTTTTTTGCTCAACTATCTTCATATGTATCTTCTGCAGGCCCTTGCAGGACAGCTAACATCGGCGGGTGCGTGAGATCTATTGCACAGGCAACAATGCCTTTGATGTGCTGCACAATTATTAGCGTTATGTTGTCCAGCATACATTTAACATACCACCGATCTGCATTCTTTTACGCTATGTACGTAACGCCAGCACTTAGTGCACTGCAGCGGACGAGGGGTTATAGATTCAGCCCGATGCTGAGCTGCCTCGGTTTGGTTTCAGATCGAGTTGTACTGGCAAACGTAACTATCACCGACTTGATTGATTGATATGTGGGGTTTAACGTCTCGAAACCACCATATATGACTACGAGAGACGCCGTAGTGGAGGGCTCCGGAAATTTCGACCACCTGGGGTTCTTTAACGTGCGCCCAAATCTGAGCACACGGGCCTACAGCATTTCCACCTCCATCGGAAATGCAGCCGCCCTAGCCGGGATTCTATCCCGCGACCTGCGGGTCAGCAGCCGAGTACCTTAGCCACTAGACCACCGCGGCGGGGCATCACCGACTTTGTCGGGATCTTCCTGTTGTCAACGCTCTTCCTGTTGTATTTTTTTTTTGCTAAATTTTGCGTCCACGGACACCTTCACGTTGTTTGCAGTCGATTTTCCCAAGGCATGCCCGAACTCATTTGCTGGAAGTATTTTTTTAGTGCAAGTTAAAACACACCGGAACGCATTCACATACATTCAGTGCGGGTGGCTATCTTTTATTTTATATTTTGCAGCTTGCGGGAAAACAAACTAAACTATGACAACTGACATGCACGCAGTATTATAGCAGCGTCAAGTGTATCACAGAGACGGTGCAAAAAAACAAAAAGTTCGCGGACTGGAATTTATGAAAACAAAAATGAACTGTATAACGCAATGTTTTTTTTTTGTTTGTTTTGGTACAAACTGCGTAAATATCGAGTGACACCACTCGATTAATCAAATTTTGTAGATAACTTAAATGGGTAGATTTCATACGCTACACGCGATTGGTGTGATGTGTTAAATATTTGGTCTGACGCCTACCAAAACTGTGTTATAATATTACTCTAATTGTATTTGTGGAATTATGTGCATGTTTGTACTGTGAACGCCATGCGCTGACAATGTAAGGGTCTTCAAAACGCAATCAGGCTGCCTATAGAGCAGCTTTTAGGTCAGCATACAATCCAAATAATTCTTGTGAAATAAAGTTTTGATTGATTGATGCAAATTGAATTTGTCCACTTTTGCTCGCCTTTAACCTCGCGATATCATCTGTTCTTATGCGATTCCTAAATGAAAAGAAGATAAAAGTGAGCCCCGTAACTTTCTCTCAAGGGGAGGACATCTCAACAGTAGCTCACGAGGTATGGGGGTAAGAAGGGATTAAAAGAATAGGATTAAAAGGTATAGAGATAGAGAGATGGGGGAAGGAGAGAGCGTGGCAGCAGGGACAGTGACATCCAGAAGTAAGGAGAAGATAGGAAAGATGGACACGGTGACGGTCGCAGAAGTCCAAGGACGGGGCACCACTCAGCGAGAGCTCTTGTCGGCGTCAGGAGATGGCGAGTTAGCTCACGCGAACACAAGCTGTTTGCAGTGTGTTCGAATTGGTCGCAGTACTGTCACCATCGCCTTTTCTTCATTCCCGGTGAAATATCTGTTTGTTGAAGCTAGACAAACAAAGCGTCGAGGTAAGTGCGCTCTTGTCGGTGTCAATCGGCTCACGCATAACACCTCTACTCAGTGATCTACTATTGACAGGAGATGGCGCTATATAGGGCGAACCAGTCTAGAGTCACTGGAAAAATTTTTTTCCCAGTGACTCTAAGCCAGTCGGCCAGAGCTGCGCTGTCGTCGGAAATCGCGGGGGCAC